CCGCCAGAGGACACCTCATCACGCCTGTCGGAAGGTGCACCGCTCGCGTCGAAATTCACGGCGAGACGTGTCCTGTGAAATTCGTCATTCTACAATACTGTTCCAGAGACGTCACTCTCGGCATGGACTTTTTGTGTGAATACGGCGCCGTCATCTACCTTGGAGAAAACAGATTGACGCTGCGGACACCTGTTCCGCCTTCAGAGAAACTCCAAACTGCGTCAGCTGCCGTCCGAGTCGCTGCCGACCACGTGAATCTGCCGCCGCGATCAAGTGTTGTCGTACCCGTCGTGACCGATGCAACTAGCCGTGGCGATCGAAGTTCTTCTAGAAGGTAATCTTCGGTTGCTTCTGGGAAGAGGAATAGGAGTCGCAAGAGGAGTAGCTGAACTTCAGGATGGGTGCACTGTGGTTCTCGTGACGAATTTCCGACAAGAAACGCAACACCTCACTAAAGGTGCAGCTGTGGGCCATGTCGAGGAACTCCGAAACTCCGCCGAAGTCGCCGCGATTGCTGAAGAATCATCACCGCCTCAGCAAGACTTTACGTCGCCAGCGCAGCTCGACATTGACCCTAAGCTTCCGGACCTAAAATGACAGCAGCTGAGTAACCTCCTCGCCGAATACAGCGACTGCTTTGCGACGTCGTCAAAGGTGCGCCAAACCACCGTTGCGAAGCATCGCATTGTTACCGAGGGCGACGCGCTCCCTGTGCATCGTTCGCCATACCGAGTCTCAGTAAAAGAAAAGGAGGTCATACAGGAGCAAGTGTAAGAAATGCTTGACGATGACATAATCCAGCCTTCCAGCAGTCCATGGGCCTCTCCGGTAGTACTGGTTAAGAAGAAGGACGGAACCTTTAGGTTTTGCGTGGACTACCGACAGCTGAACGCGGTGACGAAAAAAGACGTCTACCCACTTTCCCGCGTAGACGACACGCTAGACCACCTGCGCGCGCGGCAATATTTACCAGCTCGCCTGCGCCCTAACTCTTATTTCTGCATAGGCGAATTAGCAAAGAGCCCGACTTTCTGTTTTGATGACCATCAAAACATTCTGTTTTGAGGAAATCGTTATTCACCCTCTATTGAGTATCAGTTTTAGTCATATTCCTAGTAAATTGCGCCTGTCCACAGTGATCATTTTCTTGCCAGAGTCGACCGCGCCATTGAGCTCGCCCTTAGCCCTCCTGTGACAAAAATGTTCAGATATGTCGATGCCGTTTCACTTATGTTTGACAATCGCACGGGAACAGATGTAGTCACCAGTGTTATGGATATTTTTCTGAAAGTGCAGCTTTAGTCTTAGATTCACCTGTGAAGAGCCTTAGGAAAATTACAATTTCTAGACCTATCGCTTCCACTTCACACCATTTATGCTGGTCTTTCTTCCCACGTTCGAAAAAAGGTGTTTACATTACTCGTCTGCGCACTCTAAGATTGATAAGAGGGGTATAGCTTTCTCTGGTGTGCCCCCCCCCCCCCCCCTTAAAATCAAGCTGGTATGCCACTGGGCACATGTGGTCCGTTATGACTGCAAATCGCGGTCCCCCGCGCAAATACAAAGTGTCACAAAAAAAAAAAAAAACAGAGTTTTTTTGTGTTGTTTCTACCGCAAAAAATAGACTAGGCATCGCTGAACGCTCATTCTCCGCCCAAAGGTAGCGCTAGAGGTCACAACCGGACGCCAAATTTTCAGCCCGATCCGATATCTTATTCAGAAGTTATATGCGATTTTCTGAAAAGTTCTGGGTGAAAATGGAGCCCATTTTCGCCCGTTTTCAGTTTCTGGTGCCCATAGAGCCCCATGTATTCGAAAACTCCGTCGGCCGCCATTTTCCCATTGAAATTTTCAGAAAATCACATAACTTTGGATCAAGGTATCGGATCAGGCTGAAACTTTGGCATCTGCAGGGCCTCTAGCGCTACCTTTGGGCGGAAAATGAGCGTTCGGTGACGCCTAGTTTATTTTTGCGGTAAAAAAAACTTGTCTTTTTGTAGTTTTTTTTTACACCCTCTACTTTTTGAACTTTTCTGTGGTGGCCCAATGCACTCGAGAAGGTTAATGTGCAGAGTGCTGTCGTGCGCGTTCAAAAATTGGGTTGAGTATTCAATTACCTTGTCGCACGAGTCGTGTCTCTGCGTCAGGATCTCTCTAAAGCCCGTTTGGCTCGCGTCCACGTGAACCGTGCTGGGGCACTCACTCCGAGAAGTGGCCAGAACCGTCGGATTCTTCAGACAATGCTTTAGGTCGTGGGCGATCCTTTGATGTTCACTAGACCACTCAAAGCGTGCTTCCTTCAGCAGTAGCTCACGCAGCGATGATGATCGTGTTGCAAAGTCCGAGATGATTTTTCGAAAGTGATTTAGAAACTGTAGAAATGAGTAAAGGTGCTTTGCATCCCTCTCGGGCTGAAACTTGTCGACTGCAGAGACACACCGAGGATCGGGTGTTCTGCCTTCCGCCGTGATCACATCCCGAGAAATTGAATGCTGGTTCGGACGAACTGGTACTTCGTGATGTCGATGCGGAGTCCGCTCACAAGCACAACGATGCGTCGTAGGGCTTCGTGTAGAAATTCTAAAGACGTTGTTCTTCGGGGAAGTTCGTCGGAAGTTCTTCGCATCACTATTTACATGGTTGGGGGCGCTTTACAGAACCCGAAGGCCATGCGGAGATACTCGTACTTGCCATCTGGAGTGACAAGGCTGTTTTGTGGACATTTTCCGCTTTCACTCGGGTGGTCAGAAATGCGGTCTTGACGTCGATAACAGTGACGTAGTGAGAGCCGTCTCTCATTACATTGTGAGCGAGCCCACGTCGTATAGCACGAGCCCCCTTCGATGGGCCCCACGGTCTCCCCACCGCAAGACCGCAACGCCAAACCACCAGCTCACCGCACACACTATAGGAAGCGAGCAAGCCGGCCGTGTCGCGGCGGTCGCCTATTGTTCGCCGCGACCTGGCGGTAGCCGCCGCAGGAGCATCGGGCAGCAATGGCGACGAACAGCACGGCGGACAGCGTCCCCGTCGTGATTACGACGGAATTTAAGGCAGTTACGAGTTCGGAAAGTTCCTTCGGAAGCCGCTGCCGCCGGCTCAGAATCATCGCGAAGTAATAGTAGCGAACAGCACAGAGGACAGTGGCGACTACGAATCCGGAAAGCTTCTTCGGTAGCCGGTGCAGAATCATCGGGGGGAAGCAGTGGCGATTAGCAGAACAGCGGACAGTGTTCCCGGGGTGATTACGACGGGGTTTAAGGCGGTTACGAATCCAGAAAGCTTCTTCCGTGGTGCCAATATGACGAAGAGAAAACTTTTTCATGAATCTGGCCGCGTGTACGACGTGAAGGAGGTCCGTTTCGACGGACAAGTGGATGTCACGGAGCGCCGTACTCTGCAAACAAAATTAAGCGCGCCCGCAAAAAAATTTAGTTGGCGTTGAGGGGACTGCGGTAATTATGTACGTTTATTTCTGAATCAGCTTGACAATAAAGCCGGGAACACATTTGCGAAAAACCGAACCGAAAATCGGAGAGAAATCGGAGGCTGCGAAAATCGTGGCATGCGATTTTCGGATGACGAGCCACATGAGGTGGAATGCGCGGCGCGGAAATCGCAATGCACTGCGGTTTTCGTGCTCCGACTTCAGGAGGCTGTTCGGTAGTCTGGCGAACTGGCGTCCCATATTTCGCGCCTCTTTAAAACTTCAGCTATTAAAACCTCGTTGCAAGCCACGCGAGCCTTTCTACCACCACCCTTTGATAGAGACAGAAGGGGTTTTCTACGCTGCGCTGCTTCCGAAGCTGCGTGAGCCGCCATGTTGCGAGCCGATCGTATCTTTTCGTTCCGTCCCGTTCCGGGCTTTCGCTCACCGAGCTCCTCCGCCCCGAATTCGGAGGCGCCGTGCGAAAATATCTGGCGCTGCAGATCTTTCGAACCGCTCCCGATTTTCGGAAAAGGGGAGGAGCCTAGCTGCCGTGCGGTTTTCGTGTGCGGTTTTCGCATAAAATTCGGCCTTTTTTCGCAAATGTGTTCCCGGCTTAACTGGGCGATTTTTTTTTTCGCGCCGTTCCGCGATTCTCTTTACTATCTTCCTGTAGGCTGATGGAAACATCCAAGGGTAGGCTTAGGAGGGCGACCGCATTCCGCTTCTCGATTCCGGTGAAGTATTTGCTGCGTAGAGTTTGCCGTCGGTGTCGATGCTGTTCTATCGTCGCTAGAAGAGAAAAGAAGGTAACTGTATTATACGTCAGCAGCTTAAACAAAACACGAACTGGAAGGTAAGAAACACCACTAACCTGTATGGACGCACAAGTCGTACCCAGGTCGCGCAGTACTCCGCCTCGTACGGCTTCGAAGGGACGATGTAGTACTACGTGCCGTGCGCGATCTTCGACGTACTGTTTCAGCCGACCAGGCAGCACTTGTTGCGGCTTTCTTGGTGCGGAATAGTCATCTCGGAAATTACAGTGCTCACCGGCTAACCCACTACAACGCACAACCAACGCAGCGACAGCGACTGGCAGAAGATGCCCGATGCAACGGACCCGTTTGCCGCTAGGGGCGCCCTGGTCGGGGCTTGAATTAGATCCGCACGGTTCCTATGCTTCCCAAGCCTTTCCCTCTCGCCCGTACGCTCTCGCCACCGCCATCTCAAGTGTCTCCCCTCCGCATTCCCAGACAGCTCTCCCTCGCCTTCTTCGCTGTGTTCTCGTGCCGTGCCCACCGCTTACTTCGCTTTGTGTGACAGACCGCCTTTGCCTCTAGCCCTCTTAACATGTAATCTTCTAAGCTCTTCAATAAAGTCCCTAATTATCACTTCTACGCCCTGCCTCAGCCCTGCCATGCCTCACATCTGGCGCAGTCGACCTCAAGAACTTTAAACTAGCTTTCTAGTATTTCTAAAAGTCTTTCTCGCCCTTGAAACTTGCCGACTCGCCCACTCGCCTCAACCAGCCAACGCCCTGTTCGCCTCTTCGCCTCTTCTCCCGTCCGCCATGCCGCTCATCAACTGGGAGGAAGCCACTGCCGCAGAGCTTTCCGGCTTCACGGCGGATCTCATCCGTGAAGAACTCGGTCGACGCCAATTGGACAATACTGGCAACAAAGAGGAAATTATTGAGCGTCTCCTAATCAACATCGCCGAGACAAAGCCACTACCCGAAGCCAACGCCCATGGAGTTCTTCCGTCCGACTCCACTTCAGCGGGGCAGCCAGGCACATCAACCATGCCTACCTTTACAGCCGATCCCGTCCTCAATATGCAATTGTTGACTGCATACCTACAACAAAGCCTCCAGATCCCGGCAAGATCCGTAAACGTGACAACCCTTCCGGATTTGTCTTCTACGATCTCCACGTTCAGCGGAGACGGAGGAATTTCCGCTCGCCGATGGCTGGAAGACCTCGAGCGCACCCAACAACTTGCCTCGTGGGAGCCCTCCACCCTGCTAGCCATCGCGCTGGGAAAACTCCGAGGACCAGCCGCCGATTGGAAGGTCACAACCGGGAAGCAATTCAAGACCTGGCCCGAATGGAAAGAAGCCTTCCAGGCACAATTCGGCGAACAGCTTTCCCTCATTCAGTGGCAGACACGAGTGGCCGCTCGACAACAAGCACAGGGTGAGAGCCTCGTCAATTACACGCTCGCGAAGCTCAAGATCATCGCGAGGTGTCCCGTCACCCTAACCGACCAACAGCGACTCGAGTACGTGATTCAGGGTCTCCGCGATAGGCAAATCGCCACCGCCATCGCGGTTCAGCGTCCAAGCACCGTGCCACTCTTCATGACCATCGTCACGGATCTTGACCGCACCCTGGATCACAATCGAAGCCCTACGACGCCCCCTGCGCCCGGAGCTTCCGCCGCTCCAAACCTGCCCTCGCCTCGACCGCGCCCATAACAGCCTTTCGCCGCCGCGCCCGCGCCTCTAATAAGCCCCGGCACACCGTCAGTCCCGCAGCCCCAGCGACCGCAACGAATCTCGACACTTCCAGTTGAGCAACAAAATGCTCGATATCGGGACACTGAAGCGAGAAATGGAGCCCCAGCCTTTCGCTCAGGACAGGACTTGGCAACAGCCATTTGTTACAACTGCCAAAACCCTGGCCATCTCGCCAACAAATGCCCCCTGCCTCGAAAATCACGAACCCCAAATCAGGTCACCCCAAGCACACAGCCTAACGCCACAGCCTTCAGCACCTATTCCCCTGAAGAACTCCCCGGCTCTAAATTCGCATGCATGATCGTCCCCGTCACAGTCGCTGGCGTGGGCCCGGTCGATGCATTTCCCGACAGCGGCTCGAAGATGAGCATAATTTCTTTGCGTCTCGTCAGCCACCTGAACTTGCTCCCCTGGAGTAAACCCCCGCTCGTGGTGGTTGGGGGAGGTTCTGTGACCCCGATTGGCTCCGTTTGCATTCGCATCTCCGTCGGACCCATATCCGGACTGGTGGAAGCAGCAGTTTTACCCCAAAACGCCTTGCCATTGATCTTGGGGGAGGACTGGTTCTGTGCGTCACAAGTGGAGCTGCTCGTCCGCCCTCCACTTCCATCGCAGCTTCGCCACCCAGGCAACAACATCATCATCGACTGCCAGGAAAGGCTACTGCCGCGAATGGCCAACGCAGTCTTGCTCGAGAACTCCGCCCTGAGTAAGTCTCGCATGCCCTGTGCTCCTGACGGACTGCAGACTTCCCCAATCTTCCCAGAAGAACAGCCAGCATGGTCACTGTTAGGATTAACTGCCATGCACATTACGTCTTGCCAAGAACCACAGACCAGTGCGATTCTGCCCCAGCCGGCGGTAATCGGCACGCAGCTGCTCCCCGACGATCGCAATCGAGTTCAAGCCATTCTTGAGCGACACGCACTACTCTTCGCCACCAGTGACCATGACCTCGGGCTCTATGACAAGGTAGAGCACACCATCGACCTTGTGCAAGGTGCACAGCCCTACAGCCGTCAGCCGTATCGTTGCACTTCCGACGACCGTTCGTTCATTGAAGAGCAAACAGCGCAGCTCCTTCAAAAGGGAATCATCGTACCGTCGATTGGACCATGGGGATTTCCCGTTGTAGTCGTGACTCGCGAGAACAAGAAGCGCCTTTGCGTAAATTATATACCGCTCAACAAGCTGACCATCAGCGTCGTCCAGCCCCTTCCCCTCGCAGATGATCTCATGAACGACGTTGCCGGATGTTGTTTGTTTGCGTCCCTAGACCTCAAGTGTGCCTATTGGCAAATCGGCCTCCGCCCGCAGGATTAAGACAAAACCGCTTTTGTGACGCATCAGGGAGCCTACAAGTGGACCAGAATGCCATTTGGCTTGAAAAATGCCCCTGCAACCTTCCAGAGGACAATGAACACCATCTTTGAAAGCCTCAAGCCACGTCATCCAAAATGCGGCGCAAGAGTCTACCTCGACGATGTCCTGCTTTTCGCAACGAGCTTCGCCGAGTTCTTGGATCTGCTTGAGGAAGTTCTGACCCTCTTATTGCACAGCGGACTCAAAGTGTCTCTCACCAAGTGCAAGTTTGGAGTCGAATCGATCAGATTCTTGGGATTCATCCTGTCTTCGCAAGGAAAGCTTCCGGACCCCGCGAAAGTGGAGGCCCTGAATCGGATCCCCACGCCTCAGACTCCGAAAGCCGTTCTGTCATGGGCCCAAACAGCCGGATTTTATCGTCGGTTCATCAAGGACTTCGCCAAAGTCACCGCTCCACTTCAGTCGATCATCCGTTCAGGACTGTTCGAGTGGACGCCCGCGTGCGAATCTGCCTTCAAAAAAATTCGCCACAGCCTCACCTCAGCCCCAATCTTGGCGTACTTCGACCCCGCAGCACCCACTACGCTGGCCACCGACGCATCTGGGGTTGGCCTTGGTGCTGTACTCACGCAGATGCAGAACGGAAGAGAAGTCGTCATTGAATATGCAAGCCGCACACTCTCGACCCACGAGCAACCGCTTCACAGCAATGTGTGGGAGTGCATAGCTGCCCACTGGGCAATTACCCAAAAATTTCGCCAGTACCTCATTGGCCTGAAGTTTTGCCTCATCACAGACAACTGGACAGTCGCCTGCCTGACGTCGAGCCTGAAGCCCTCGCGGCGCTTCACTGGCATGCTCATGGACCTTACAGAATTTGACTTCACGGTGCAACACCGGCCCGGACGTCAGAACGTGGTAGCAGACATGCTATCTCGCCTTTCTTGTGCTACAGTCACACCTACCGCTGCGCTTGCTGACATGCAAAGAGAAGACAGTGACTGCTCCGTCATTCGCCAACAACTCACCTCGAGCGGTGATGCCAACGACGAGTACCTCGTCTTAGACGACGTCCTCTACCGCCGCCTTTCCGCTGACCTCAGTGTCATCGTAGTGCCGGCCAAAATGCGTCAACACGTCTTGGAACTTTGTCATGACGGCAGCGGACACATGGACCTCACTAGAACCCTCGCCAAGGTCGAGTGCCGCTACTGGTGGCCACGCATGTCAGCGACCGTCTCGCAATACGTCGAGTCATGCCTCACCTGCCAGCTGAACAACAGGCCTACAACAAAATCGGTCGGACTCATGGGCTCCATGCCAACCACCGAACAGCCTTTCAGCATAATCGCAATGGATCACATCTCTATGTGCTCAGCCGACAGTTCCAAGTACATTCTAAATGTTATCGACTTCGCTACTCGGTACATCGTCCCTGTCGCAGTAGCAACAACGTCGGCATCGGAGGTCATACGCCACCTCCGCGAAGTATTCCATGTGTATGGCGCCCCTGACCACTGCCTGACTGACCATGGACGTGCGTTTGAGTCCAGGCAGTTCCTGCGCTTCATGGCCCATCATGGAGTCACTATGCACTATTCAGTGGCTTACAGAGCAGCCAGCAATGGCCTCGTTGAGAGGAACAACGCTACCCTCGTCGCCGTGCTAAGAAAGCTTTGTGGCGCTCAGCCGGAAACATGGGAAGGGAAGCTTACGCAGGCTGCCTTCGCAGTGAACACTGCATTCAACGCGTCGTTGCAGTTTTCACCCTTCGAGCTTCTCTACGGCTATACGCCCAAGCTCCCCCGCCAACGACATTGCCCTGTGAACACAACCAGCCTTGAGGATCGTCTCCTCAACCTCTGCGCGAATAGGTCGCAGGCTTCCGCCAACGCGGAGAATGCAAGAGATGGTCGTTGCCAGCGGTACGACCGCACACATCGCGAGCAACAGCACTTTCATCCCGGACAGCTTGTTTGGTTACGCCGCCAAGAGCCTGTCACAACCACCTGCGAGAAGATGGCACCCCGTTTTAAAGGGCCCTACCAGATTCTCGAACTGAAGACGCCGACAACGTATCTTCTACAGCGTGTCTCGTACAGCGACGACGGCGTGTCGCGTACGGCAACCGACACGAAAGTCGCCCACGCAAGCCAGATCAAGCCATTTCATCACCCGTACGTCGACGAAACCCTGCTCGAGCCCTCAGGAGAATCTCCGCCCGACAGCCAAGACGCACTCCTCGAACGGGACAGTCAAATGGTTTCCCCCGCGCATCCCGAGGATACGCAAAACGACTCCCACCTAACAAGCCCCGACTCCATTGACCCAGTCGCGGAAGATCAAACGCCTCTAGCGCGCTCAGACCGTGCTCGAAGGCCTCCTTCCTGGCTTCGAGACTTTTTGAGTGACTAATGCTCTCCCAAGTGGACTTGGACAGCTTCGGGAGGGGTGGGATGTGAGCGAGCCCACGTCGTATAGCACGAGCCCCCTTCGATGGGCCCCACGGACTCCCCACCGCAAGACCGCAACGCCAAACCACCAGCTCACCGCACACACTATGCTTCCCAAGCCTTTCCCTCTCGCCCGTACGCTCTCGCCACCGCCATCTCAAGTGTCTCCCCTCCGCATTCCCAGACAGCTCTCCCTCGCCTTCTTCGCTGTGTTCTCGTGCCGTGCCCACCGCTTACTTCGCTTTGTGTGACAGACCGCCTTTGCCTCTAGCCCTCTGAACATGTAATCTTCTAAGCTCTTCAATAAAGTCCCTAATTATCACTTCTACGCCCTGCCTCAGCCCTGCCATGCCTCACAACATCGTCGAGTGCGTCGTCCATGGGTTGCAGCGGGTTGATGGTTTTGACGTTCAATTAACGGCAGTCATGAACCATCCGTCTGGGAGTTGCGGGATCATTCGGCTGGTTGACCACAAGCGTTGATGCAGCATATTCGCTTTGTTTTTGGCGAACAATTCCACGCTCCCAATAGTTTTCGACCTGTTGTTTGATGAATTCCCGGTCGGCTGGGGAGCATCGATAGGGCTGCGACGTCACGGGGATTTCGTCGCGTAGCTTGATGGAACGCTCGGCGTGTGGAAACGTGCGCAGTTGTTCCTCCAACGTCGTAAACGCAGCGTGGTGTTTTGAGAGTATCCCAAAGAGCCTTTTGCGTTCTTCTGGCGAAGCGGCTTCGGTAATCCTGCCCACAGCTGTGTGGGTTCGTTGCATCAGGGCTCTTTCGATGTAATTCCGTGCTGGCTCCAATTTTACGAACATGGCCAGGCACTCGGCTTGTGGCAGTTTCTCATGAATGTTTTACACTATAGTGCTTCTCCGGAGATTGTTGTCTTTAGAATCTCGGCGGGCGAATCGTGCCGTTGAGGTAGTTGAACGATGGTTATGTCGTTCGAAACATGAAACGTGACTTCCAGTACGTTAGCGAGTTGGCGCCAGTCTGATCCGAGAAGTAGGTCAATTGACTTGGGGAGTGGAGGAATGAGTATTTCCTGTACCTTAACCGTCGTTGATCCAATGTTGATCGTCAGAGACGTGCACTTGTTAGACGCCAGCTTGTTGTCCACAACGTTGACAAATTGCTCCCCTCGGAACCACAGCGACACTCAAGCATCCTGGGGTAGTGCCTTGGGATCGATGACCGATATGTTGGCCTCAGTGTCGATGCACGCTTTCAAACGACGATTCCTCTCCGTGAAGGCGGTGACGATGGGGAGAGAATCTCCCGTCGTGGGCGCAAGAAGCAGTGGACATTCTCGTTCGGACCCGTGCCCTTCTGCGTGTGTTTCTACTCTGTGCGGGTAGTCGCTGCACTTTTCGGCTCTGGACAATCCTTGGAGAAGTGACCGGTTGGGTCGCAATTAAAACGGCCGCCCAGCTGCCTCGTGCGTTTGAAGGGTTTCGGTGGTGGGGCATTCGACGGGGTGCTGGTCGGGGCACTTGTCGTTTGCTGCGTTGATGTCGAATGTTCGTGCGTGCCTTCTTTGCGCGGTTCCATCTCTTCTCTGGGGCGGCGGTGGTCCAGAGTCGTCGCGCAGTCAGTCAGCTCGAGGGCCGATTTACAGCTTTGGCCTGCCAGGGGATTGGCCCACTTGTCCTCGGTGATTTTGTGTAGGATTAAGGAGATTCATTCGCTGGGCTCCTAGCTCACAGGGAGCTCACACGAGCATGGCATTCTTCGCGTAGATATACTGCATAATGCTCCCGTCGTGGCGGAGCTGTCGACGTTGTTGGTACTCCAAGAATTGTTGAAGTTGCATTTTTCGTTGGAAGTGTTCCTTGGTGGCTTCCTTTCATACTTCCCAGTCGTCGATCCGGGAACCGTATGACTTGTGCCAGTCTCGTGCGGCACCGTGAAGTCGGGTGACGGCACTGGGCAGGGTGAGGTTTGTTGTCCCATTTGCGAGGGGAACCACGATTTCTCAGTCTAGGGTGACCACCCGTCCCGCCACTCACGGGACTGTCCCGCATTGGGGGCTCGTGTCCCGCGTCCCGCAAGAGATTTTCAAATCTTCAAAATGTCCCGCATTTCATACTGTCGTAAAATTCACTCTGCAATTCATGGTGCTGCGGAACAACGGAGCACGGGGAAGCGCGTAGGTCGCTGTTAATCGTGTGAATCGCATGGCTACGCCATTTTCTATCCAAGCATTCCGGGAAGCGACCGTCGTTCTTGCAGTAGAACCGACGCGCTTGCTCCGTTGCGGCTCTCCCCTTGGTGGCAAAATATTGTAAGAAAAATTGCTCGCCAAAATTTTAAACATAAGATACTGTAATTATTTTCATATCGCTTTGTCACAGCAAAAGGTTTGCCGTGGATTTCTTTCTTTATTTTTTCGTGAAGACAGCTACATACACAGGGGGAAAAGCCTGAAACTCAAAAGGGTCGAAAGAGAACATACGGTTAAAAGTTTGTGTACACTCTAAACAAAGCCCCTGCGTCTACTTTCCCGCACCACACTCGAAGAGTCAATCACCGCGAGTTACGGAGGCAGCTCAGCGAATGACGATGTCGAAACATATGTTTAGACAAAAAAAAAAAAAAAAAAGAAACGCCTTCCGAGTTGTGACATTAGGCAATGCAAGGCGTGACGTTTTGCATTGCTTAATCTCAAAACTCATACTGCGTTTTTCGGTCTAAACAGACGTTTCGGCGTCTTCATTCGCTGAGCTGCCTCCGTAACTCGCGGTGATTGACTCTTCGAGTGTTGTGCGGGAAAGTAGACGCACGGACTTTCTTTATGTTGATAAAAGTAAGCGTTGACAGGAAACAATAACCAGAAAAAGATTTACGGTTTCTTATTTCCATTTGATGCATTGTGTTCTGCTTCAGTTGAATTTTATGTTTTCAATTTCGACAGATTTAATAACACATTTGGCATAAAAAGATATATAACTGGGAGTAAAAAATATTTGAGCTGAATTGCTGAGCCTCGGTTCGGCGGTGCGCGTGTTAATAAATTTCCCTATCAGTCAGAAGTATCTGGCACCCGCCTGAGCTGTGGAAACCCAGGCAGCGTGACTCCCCACCTGCATTGTGAATTCGGAGGTCGCCGGCTTTTCTTGGAGGTTTTTACTTTATTTGCCTGTTTAGGATGCTTACCCTTTGTGTGTTATCTTCCACTGTGAGAACCAGGGAATACCAGGGCTCGTAGCCTGCTCGGCCTTCGCAGGAAACGAACGAAGAGAGCGAACGTCAAGCAGCCTGCGACGCGGGCAGTTCGACGTTCTTGGAGGATTATTTCCATTTAGATAATCTCCAAAAAAAGCCTTCCCGGCTATGTTCCGAGCCTTCGCAAAAAAAAAAAAAAAATAGCTGATAGGGTCAGGTTTTAGGTGTGGGGACGGAATAGACACGTTCGTCCATTTGCTTTGAAGCTGTGCAAAAAAGCAGCTCTCTTCTAGATGTTCCCCAAAACACACCGGGTTCCGTCCGATTCTCGTGAGGTGACTATCGCCGATCGTCGACACTGTGTATTGGACATGCTGTGTTATTTGAGACCTTCCTCAAGTCCTGTTCGGATAACGCAGCACCGCTTGATGACTCGTTGAATTTCATGTTGTGGGTGGGGAATATCCATGCAGTTCAGATATCTTGTGTGGTCAAATATTTTCGACGGCTAAGGCCTTTGTAAATTGACACGGCTGAGTGTACGGTGCCTTAAAGAGATCAACATAAAATAAAACAAACATTCCAGTTGCATTTGTTCTGTCGTGCACGGACTCACCAAAACAGCTTTAGTTTCTTTGTTTTTGTTCCCAAAAATAGTACAATGAATTCTTAAAAACCCCGTGAAATTCTATATGCCATAGAACATGAAAGAAAAAATAAAACTCGGCAATTTAGCCTCCACCAGCGTCCAGAAGTGCGCCTACGCAGGCTGCCACAGCCCACTGATGAGAAACTCCACAGCCCAGTGCAGTCGGACAACATTGATGTACATTCTCGAAACCAGGGACGTGGTCTGTAAATCGCTTCGTTGAAGACTGCTGCCTTCGCGCCAACGCCAATTCGTGCTGTACATAGACGTGAAATATACTTTCGTCGCGAATATTTACTTGACTTCGCGCCGCCACTCGCAAGAACGCGCGAGGTTCGCATTTTATTACGCCGAACCATTTCCAATGAACTGGTAACCGCCACTCGAGATCACGGTTCTGTTTCGGTTCGGTTTCAATATCAAATGTTTGATTTTGGTTACAATTTTGTTCCGGCTCAGTTAAAGATAACGGTTTTGTTCCGGTTTCCGGTTCGACACATTAGTTAAACTGTATGCTAATTAACCATGATTACAATAGTAGCTTTTTCGTGGCGCCAGGAATGATACCTTGTCTGTGCGCCATTTCCATGCTCGAAAGCCAGTGAGACAATCAAGCAGTCAGTCAACTCCAGTGTAATGATGCCGTTTCAAGAGCCACTCACCATGCGCTAGCAAATTGCACCATCTGTCCTGTAGGCCCTATTCCATTCCACTTCATTCCGGGCAAAAGGCATCTAATTCCAATCCCATTCCATTCCTCACCCCTAGTGCTGCCGCCATTCCATTCCCATTCCATTCCGGGGTCCCGAAGTGCGAAATGATTCCGGAATCATTCCAACTCCGGAAAGGCAACTCCGCAGCACTGGTCATCACATCTGTCCAAGAGAGAGTATATAGATCAAGAAACGATTTCGATGCTTTATTCCCAAACCGCCGAGGTGAAATGGGGGAAACACTTCTATGGAAGGATGCAGACAAAAAACATGCGAATCTTGAACGTGAAGAGCACTTCTGACATAGACTCGCCTGCGAAACAATATACCATACAGTTTGTGATGCCATACAGTGCGTGGTGAATGTCGGCGAGAATGTTGATTCATGTTACACCATGCAAGAAAAAATACAGGCCAAATTATTTTTCTTTTTATAATGGCACCCCATTGGCATCCCTGAGTAAATTATCTCAAACGTTCCTTTTTTTATTAGCATAGGGGTAGTCAAAGCCTGTAGAGAGTTTCAGCAGACGTTTAACTAAGAAACCTAACTTTTTCAACAGATAAAGAAATTCACCCTTCTAAGCAAAACCTTAACTGCTATTCGGAGGCTTCCAGAAGGTTCCTTTTGAGTTCATGGTACAGCATCCATAATTTCCTTCTCGTTATTACGAGGCACACTGAGCACTCCAAACCGAGAGTTTAAGCAGAAATCCTTTGCTAACACAGCAGGAACAGGGTTTGATTTCGTGAATTTCATTTTTTGACAAGCGAGACGTCTAACAAAATACTTTGAAGTCTGAAATAAATTACAGGTGCCACAGTGTGTCCACTAATTCCTAACGCCTGCATTTGAGGTGGCAGAAAGCAGGCCTGTGCTAATGCAAAATGCTTAGACTGCTTAAAATTTTATATTTTTACATGCACATTTTTTTTATAATAGCATTCTTTATACAGGTTACATAATGCATGCATCAAGGCAAATTCAGTGTGGTACCTACATGACACTTTGTCCGCGAGGTACTGGTACATTGACAGGATAACTGTCTAGAGGCAATGTCACTTTAATAGAGTACTAATGCTGCAGCCACACAACAATCACTGCAACAGAGGGCTATGTAAAATGGAAACTGCAGTTTTCAGAACCACAAATAGGCTGCTAACTCCAAAACCCATGCACTTTAGGGCAAGTATAAAAAGACCGGTCATTCATGACTGCAAATTGCCGACCTGCTTCCACCGTGAGGAATTGTCGGCAAATATGAAAGCTCTCTAAGATACACTGTGGTCTATCAATTGCTGCATTGCTTTCTAAGGAACTAGTTTTTCCCTCATTTGATCTTTCATATCTTCATAACATTGAGAAAAAGACATAACAAACAGGTCAAGGGATTAAAAGCTATCTGAAGCTCAAACTTAGGAAATACGTTAACTGATGAAGCACTCTGAAGGAAGCCTATAAGGAAATAATGTAAATATCACAACTTACACTTGAAAAAACTATATCACTGGTGTAAAACAAAATCGGTACAAATCGCGAAGTTTAAAGGGGTCACGCCACAAAAATGAGAAAGCAAGTCTTTTTGATCTGTAAAATACAAATGATTTATGGTACATTCGACATAGACACCAAATTTCACATTTATAGAACTCAACTTTAAAAAATCAGAATAAAAATATCCTTTAATTTCTTTTTTTTTTTTTTTTTCCGCATGACCCCTTTAACCAATCACACCATAATCTGTGAGGGTACAGAACCTGCACAATGTGGCCACATTCTGGCAAGAGGCAAACAGCAGTAATTATAAAAAGAATGTAAGAAGATTCAGTAAACATCACATGCTGACATATGTGGTAAACTTACTGGACAGGGATATCTGTTATGTTACTTAACAGTAAAATTGAATCCCTAGAAGTCAGGGACATGACCAGCCAAATAAAGAAATATGTCATAGACAAAAATTAATAGCTACTACCTTCAATTCACAACTGATGAGACATTTCATTAGAAGACCCCAAGGTCAGCAACTGAGTAGCATGAAACAGGAGAAACACAATATCACAACTACATTAATAATTTTCTACCAATTAAACAGTGTGGCAGCTCTGAGAGAAGATGCATGGAGCATCCGTTCTGAAGTATGGACAGCAGATAAAGTAGTCTACCCAAGCATTAGTCACAAGGTAAGGGAACTTATGCCAAGTCTCAAACCTGACCAATTCTACTTACTGTAAAATCCCAAAAGGTAACCCACTCCTATTTTTGGCTCATTTACTATTTTCTTTTAAACACCGAAAGATAGCCCACTCCTAGTAATTGTAGTGTTCGGATCAATGATGACCGCGGCGTAAATGTGTCCAGTTAGCCATGGCGTGATATAAGCGAACATTGCTGATTGGGAAGTACAGTCATCTTTGCTTCATTGCCCCTCACCGTGATAACATGTTTGAAAGACACATGATCTAAAAATAGAGGTTTTTGAACTTTTCTTGATTGCACATTGAAAGTTAGCCCGCTCCTTATTTGCACCCAATTTTTCCTCAATTTTAGGTGGGTTGTACCCGGGATTTTCCGGTAATCTTTGCAAAGATCGGAATTACTGGTCAATCACAAACAGCACTGGTGCTTTCAAATGCAGACCAAGAGCCACCAAGCCTTGCATGCCGCCAAATGTACAACATGCCCCCCCCCCCCCCCCCAAAAAAAACAAAAACAAAAACACTTTACAAGGTTTTTTTATCGCAAAAATAAACAATGCATTACTGAATGCTCAGCCTCTACCAGAATATAGAGCTTGCGATCTGAAACGCAGATGCCACAATTTCAGAACTTATCGTCATCTATCTGATCCGAAACTTATGCGATTTTCTGATAATGTCAATGGAAAAATAGGGCCCATTCTTGTTAATTGGCATCCCCTATTCAGCTCCATGTATTCAAATGGCACCAGTTACAATAATGGGCCTAGTGTTCCCACTAAAAATTTCAAAAATCGCATATAACTTTTAATAAGCCAACGGTTCTGAAATTTTGGCCTCTGTGCTCAGACTGCTAGTGCTACATTAAAAAAAAAAAAAAAAAGAAAAAAAAAATATATATATGAACAAATATGTGCAGATGAATGAACCGTACTTAATCCAATGAATCAAAGTTTCCAGGAACCCGCCGAAAGCCAAAAATTGGCTCCGCCAATTTTTGGCTTTCGGCGGGTTCCTGGAAACTTTGATTCTTGGATTCATTGGATTAAGTACGGTTCATTCATCTGCACATATTTGTTCATATCCTCCTCGGAGACCACGTACGATGACGTGAAGTGCCCGTGTTGTATATATATATATATATATATATGAGCATTTGGCAATGCATAGCTTATTTTTGTGCTAAAAAAAAATAACACTGTACATTTTTTGGGGGACTCCGTGTACACTGTGCGGCACATTTAGCACACATACAATATCAACCATTTTTCTCATTTGGTTGCTCAATTTTATTGCATAAGCTAGTTCCCAAATGGGCACATTCAAAACCTCAACTAGGTTTAGTGACAGCACTGCTGTTGCAAGAGAAAAGGAAAGACTGGCAATGGCGTGTTCATACTGTGTAGTCCTCTGTACCCCTAAGAACAGCTCTGCACTGCAGAGAAGTGTGGCTACACACTGCCAGGAAATGTAACAGTCATTTAAATACGACAAATTAGATTATATGCTACATCGTTGTGCCACAAGAAAACCTAGTCTCATAAATATAAAGACAGCACAAGGAGGAGCATTAACACATTGCACACAATAAAGGTGGCATAATAAATAGGCCCCATATTCCAACCGGGACTCAACAATGCAGTACCGGAACTCACAATATGATAAAACCACAAAACGCAATGGGTTAGTGTAGTCAGAAAAAGAAACGAGAAACCCTTTTCCAATATATGCGAGGCATTAAAATGTTTGACTATTTTAAATTGGTTCCCCTTTAAATTCTCAGAAGTTCAAGTGAATATCTCATGCCCTACATAAGACTGTTTAGCAACAATTAAAAGTTATTTTTGTTGACAGTATGCTTCTTTTACATATACATATAGCTCAAAATGCATTGGAAACAGTACCATTAAAATCTGCAGTTCTCAAGCAGATTATTTCAACAGTTCAATGTTCTACCAAAAATGCAAAAAGCATTAAAGGGCAACTCCGCTCAATTCCGAAGATTTCCGGATCATGAGTGATCTCGCACTAAAAAGCTCTAGTAAAAGACACTACGTCATTTGCTTTGCGAAAAATGGTATATTGTTAAATCTAATTTTAAACACGAGCAGAAATAGAAACTGAAACTTTGGCTCCATCCGGCAACATTGGCCTCAGGCCACCAAAACATGGCCACCACGTGGTAAAAGATGCCATGTGATCCTCTATGCAATGACGGGCGGGAATGGGGTGGGTGCGCGCCAGACGAAAGTGTTGTCTGCACCACACTCTTCACCATGTTTTGTGTCTAGGACATTCAACGACATCTGCACAACTGCAACATAAGTCTGCAATTGTGCAGACTTATGCTGCAGTGAATCGACAACGTCGGTTGTGAAGCGGGAAACAGTGCTAACATCGTTACCATAGTGGGACGGCCGGACGGCGCTCCAGCGCTCCTCGCAGGTACGTTACACCAATCACTTGGACACCGCTGAGCACCGAGAGGAAACGTTGATGACATCACCTGTCACACTTGCCTTGAAAACTAAAAACAAGCAAAAGTGGCGCAATAGTGATGACGTTTAGCTCAATGTTGGCTACACCCACGCCACAGCCTTGACTGTGCTGTTGGTTCCGTCTCAATTCGGCTGCTTGAGTCAGCTGATTTTGGCAGCCTGGGGAGTTGCAAAGTTTGCCGGACTGTTTAAGAAACATTTAGACAGAACTAGGTCGTAATATTTGAAGTGTGGTTTTCCTATCTAACACTGAAGAGGACTGCATTGTTTTTTTTTAAACAAAAATGATGCGGAGTCGCCCTTTAAAAAATTTCCGATATCACCCCAAAACTCTTTGCTTTTATGCGAAAAGCTTCAGAATGTGGATGAAAAACAAAAATGTAAATTTTTCCTAGAGACAATCATATTTGGTGAAAACACCAAGCCAAGCTAAACTGAAACCAGATCAGACCTGTACAGGGGAAAATAATAAAGGAGTCTGTGAACCACTCAGGTTGTCCGATTCCTGACATGTTCAAGTTGTTTCTAATTATAACATGTTCTTTCTTGGTAATCATAGAAACCATGTTTTATGGTTTGATATTTTAATTAATGAAGGAAGAGCCAATAAAGAGGGGAGTAGCCCCAAGTGATCATTTGTCGACTAAAGATTTTTCTGTCGAAAAAAAAAAAAATACAAATTTTGAGTTACACTCTTTTTTTTTTTTTTGTGTGTGTGTGTGTGATAAGGTTTCTGAGATTGCATCATCATTAAAACCTTAAATACCCAGTGGGGAGAAAGGTCTCTTTGCCTTCGACACTCCCCTCCGAGTCGATGAAGTCGTGAAACTTGTCAAGTAGTTTCATTTTACGTAGCAACACAAAGACTTGCTCAACGAAGGAAATATTCAGGGTATTTTACACCCAATGTTAGGGACACAAAGTACACAGCTGATAATGAAATGTAAAAGCTTTGAGCTCCATTTGGAAGCAATACATCTTAACTGGTAGCACAGCCGCTCAATGCGGATCGAAAGAGACCTAAATACATTTTTCACTCTTGAACATTACCTAAGTAACTGCTCTGAACACTGACTCATACTTCAACAACTTGAAGAAGCTTTCACACCACATACACTCCGTTACGGCTCATAATGCGACTTGGGCAAATCTACACCAGCAGGAAAACGTGTCAACATCATCAGGAAAGAAACGAGAAATGTTTGCAAATGTTAAAGCAGAAATAAAGGCTGGCGATTTGAAAATGCTAGACATCATGTCTTGTGCAGGTCGCCACTAAAGAACAAAAAGTTTGCCACCTGCCAAACTTAACACAGGATGGTCTGGAGATCAAAAACAAACAAACTCAAATTGTGAACTAGCTCAGTCTGTGGTATTAAAATAAGGCATTCATTTTTTATCTTGCAGTTCCTATTTCTCAGAGAACATCAAAGTGATATTTCGTCAAGAAAAGACGGAGTATGCAAGGGCCTGGTCACTTGTGTGCCATTCAAAACCTGCATATGAAGAGCAATGCAATGCTTTCTGCAATATCAGCCCTATTATTAATGAGCAAAAGCCGCTCGGTTATGCTGACTGGCAAGATACAAGACTTTAGACTTCCACAACAGGATTCAATGTGCGGCATTGCACCTTGGTGTTGAAGTCTCCCGAGTTGTGAAAGAGCCATTCACATCCCGGTGTGCCGCCACATTTCAAACATAGCGGCAACAATTACAAGGTTGTTCCCATTGGGTCTAAAGCAACCTTGTCGCGAGGCAGGACAATTTTGCAGATGTCTCTTGCAGCACGATTTTTCGCATCCATTGTACACAATGCCGTCAACTTTGTTGCACAGCGCACCACGAACCTGCCGATGGCTCGCATCAAAATGGAAAAGCAGAACGAAGCTATTCCTCGAGAGTCTGGGGTGTTTCACTGTTATTGTCCCAAACTGATTAAGAGGAAGTGGCCAGCATTCTGCCAAAAGCTTCAGCAGAATGCTGAACACCTTCCTGCCCCAAGGCCCTACAACGCTGCCAGCGAGCATGCTAGACGATAGCTTTAAGACGTGCCACACTTTAAGAGTCGTGCCCAGACAGTCCTGGACGTTCCGTCGACACGAGCGTGTTTCGCCCGGAGCTCAGTGCACGCCGTCACAGTACAAGTGTGGAGAAGCGAGACACATCAGCGCTTCCTGCGGAGACGCCACTTGAGGATGAGGAAGGCGGTGAGCCTGAAGAGGAGGTCCATGCCCAGAAGGATGAAGAAGCGAAGGTAGAGGCGAATGTCTTCGACTCCGAGACTGCGGAGGACTTCCTTGGGGTCGCTGAGGAAGCAGAGCTCGCCATCTTCGCACTCCAGCTCGGGGCGCCCATGGCCGTACAGCGCTTCGAGGATACCCTGGAGGCCGTGGTACAGGTGGGACGTGTACATGATCCAGCGAAACGCAATGTGGATGTGCGTCTGCTGCACAAAGAACCCGGAGAAGAGGAAGGACGGCGATGCAGCCGGGAGCACCAGGAACACAGATGTCTGCAAGGTAAGACAGGAGGATGTGCTCTTACGAGTTCTTGGAAGGTTTTAAGCAGCAGAATCTATCCAGTCCAGTGAACTCTCCTGAATGCTCCCTTGCCCATCAGAGTGTGAGACAACTCAACAAACTATAAATACCCAGCAAGCACCAACACAAAAGTTGGAAATAATCATAAGAAAATGAGAATAGGTGCTTATTCGATCCAAGAATGGAAAAGCAGAAGGGGCACAAGGTGGGGTAGGCACCTGTTTGATCCGACGGATATAGGAGAAGTATAGGGGTCTGGCGGAACCCCTAATTTGGAAAGCAACTGCCCCGCTCCGCACCGGTGCACGTACGTGAAGTCTCGCCGCTTTACACTGGCTTATCAGAGGAGCCGCTGACATGGAGGAACATTTCTGTTAGCTCAGTGGACTCAAAAGTTTGCTTGGGCAAGTGCTGGATATGTTCTTTGCTTTTATTTCATACATTTCAAAAGGTGGGCAGGCTCGGTAACTTACAGTAAGTACCTCTTCCAATTCGAGGAGGCTAAACTTTTGCAATGTGAACTTTCTTCTTGAGTGCTATCACCTGCCTGCAATAACCGGAACCAGTTCCCTGTTGTGGACTACTGCTCCCTGTCCTACGTACCTTATGTCATTTGCAAGTTTTCGTTAAGACTCATGAGCTTAATGGTTTTCATTAAAACTAAGAAAGGAGGGGAGGGACATCTGGCACTACCATATATATACTTTATACATGAGAATGCTATGAACACAAGAACAATAATGACTCGCAAACAAAGATGAATGGAATAGCAACGTCTCCAGGGAATTTGTGCGAGTTTGTTACTGTGACGACTGCTTCCAGTAGCTTCCTCCACTCATGAAGACTGAGTGGCAGAAGCGGAAAGTATAGTCCCGGGGACGTCTATGTGAAGTTTCCAGGAGTTGTCAAGTGTGAGGGAATTGAGATATGAAAGAGGTAAGCACAATTTGCTTCTTAAAGCATTAGTGGCAGCTAGCCTGCCTAATACAGTTTAATAAATTTTGGGAGCGCAGTGTTCCTTTTGGGGCATATCGCAATATATAGAGCACTGCGTGAATAACAGTCTCATCATCCGCATCCGATCCGCATTCGCAGAGTTTGTATCCAGATCCGCAATATTCTTAAATTATTGTATCTGCATCTGGTTCGGATCCGCATAATTTGTATCTGCATCCGACCCGCAATCTGTGCATTCATGTTACATCATAAAATCAAGCGTAAATGAAGAAAAAAAAAGCGTCTGGATGGTACCTTACAAAGTGCTTACTTATCTTTATAAAAAAAAAAAAAAAAATTTCGAGGCAGAATGCAGTGAGAGTAATTTATTGTATTCTCCCTCATCGTATTTCTATTATAAGCGATCATTCACTAATACCATTGCGTAATTTTATTTAGGTCAAACAATAATGAAGTGGGAGAGGAAATGCAAGTACATTGCTGGGAAAATATCAATATTCAATAATGGCAATACTCTTCCTATTGAGTTTAGCTTTAAATGCGAATCCGCGACAGCATGCTCTGAACCACATACCTAGCAGCAACTTTCCAACTGTTAAGAAAAAAAATGCACACACTCGCAACGTTTCACTTGTTGAGCAGGCTTCTTCTACTTTCTTCTGGTTTCTAAGCTTTGGGCTTTCTTTGCCTAAAGAAAGTTTTTGTTCTTTCCCTGACAAACAAGAATATGCTCTCCCGGGATGATTGATGCCCCTGCATTCATTAATTTCTTTAGGGCCGAGACAGAATGCTCTAAAGCGATCTCTGGTGAGAATCATGTCTTTCTTGATGTAAAGAACAATTTTCTCCCCAATTTGCATTTTTTTTCCTGAGAAAGTAATTTGCTCTTGCAAAACATTCAATGACACACCCCCTTCATAGTATCACTCACTTATTCACTCTACACTCTGTGGTAGCAGATGTTTATGGGCCACCTCGGCAAAAATGTAGATCTGGACCCGTAAAATATGAGGATCCAATGCACATTTGTTGCCCCTGGCAGGGCCGTAACCAGGGGGGGAATTAGGGGGTTCTGACCCCCCCCCGAAATTTTTTTCTGGGTACGGCCCTGGTCGGTGCACTTGCAGCCAGCCGATTTTAATCTCCACCTCTGCGCACGCGCAGTGGCACCGGTCGGCTACCGGGTACCAAACCGGGACCAGTTCTTCAGTTTGCTATAACTCTCCATTATATGCCACCGATGCACATGATTCATAGGCGAAAATAAGACAAAATGGCCGCCGTTGTCCCCGAAAACCCCCCCCGAAATTTTTTTCTGGGTACGGCCCTGGCCCCTGGCACCTGCATCCAATCAGAAATCCGCCCAATCCGATTCCTTTTTATCCGCATCTGCCAAATCACTGCAGATATCCGTGGATAATCCACGGGTAATCCGTTAACATGCTGGGCTCTAACAATATCTATTCTCTACCCCCCCCCCCCCAAACATTATTAGATGTCGTATTTACACTCCAAAACTTAATACTGTAGATGGCTGCAACCTGCAAGGCTATGATTCAAAGCATTAAAAACAGTCACTACAAACATAGACACACGGTGCTGTCTATCCCACAATGTGAAAGATAGATCCTGTGGTAAATATAGTCCAACCAAAGTTAACATAAAACTGGCTTTAGAGGTGCACTTCTTTTTCTCTCAAGAAGGCAGCTCGCATGAGCATGCACGACATGAAAAACCTTCCAAGTCAAAACTGCGGCACAAAGCTACTTTGCTAAATCTACAAAAATTTATGCAATCTTCAGTGGGAGTAGGATATGAACAGAAAACAGTTTACTAGTTGCATCACAAATTTCACTAACCCAATTACAATTCTGGACGAACCTAGCTGGTCAATGTGGAGCCATCCCCAAACCGTTCAGAACGAGCATAGCTTGCCTGTTTTCCCCTGTTCACGCACTCAACCATTTTCAACGACCCAGGCTTGCTCATGGCTTAGTATGCAGCTTTGCTGACAGATTGCAGCACTAACTTTTTTTTCTTTTTAAATTTTGGTCTAATTACGTTTGTAGCTAAAAATCTGATTTTGAAGGCCACAAATTTGATTTTATTTGACAATAATCATGCAGTCGAGGGTCAGGAAGTTCCAAAAACTAAAAGCGATTAATACAATTTGCTACATAGGAGCATAAGTGTAATCCATCTGCGGAAGCTGGAACACAAAAGCGAAAAAGATCAAGACTGCGCTGATTCAAGAACAAAGGAGGCCAGAAGGGCCTGCACTGCCCACCTGGATGCTGCTTGCTGCAGAGACCATGAGTGCCAGCCCCTGGGACACAGAGCCCACCTGAATGGTGAACAGGATGACGGTGGCAGCTCTCCACAGGTCGGGGGGCTGGGAGGTGGACCAGTAAAGGGCCACCATCATTATCAGGGGCCCACAGATCTGCAGGACAATACCAGGCATGCCTCTTGTCAATAGCACATCAATTTAGAAACTAATATCAAAATACAGTCACGGCTCGTTTCAGTTCCCCCCAAAAAATTGTCCATACACGAGCACAAAGAGCCCGTCATGCTCGTTTGGTACATCTGCCAGTTTTTAAAAATGTTCTGGTACAAACAAGGGCTGGAACTTCAAGTTTAGGTTTCAGTCTCTGAACTATCGTAAAATACATAGCAAGAACCCACCCACAAATTTGAGATATCTGAAAAAAAAAATAAACAAACAAATGGCAAATGGGTGCATATTAGGTCAAAAGCCGGAAAGCAGAGGGTACGTGGTAGGGCGAGCCCTTGCTTAGTCCAGCAGATCAGAATAGGAGCAGCGTAGAGGTCCAGCAGCCATGCCGGTCGCGTCAAGCTTCGCCGCTTGACATCGGCATGCTCTAAGAAGCAGCTGATGCAAAGGAACATCTTGGTTACCACCGCAGGTGCTTGATGCTTTTATTTCAAAAGTTCCTAAAATGAGGTGTGGCCATGCATTGCAACATGGGTGGATGCCTGGTACTTCATAAATCAAGACATAATGGCAATTGTAGGAATCAGAGTTGTAGCAATAAGCCAGATTAATTGTTGTCATTTATATTTATGTGTGCATACATAAAGGCCTCAGAGGAGACTAACAAATACCATAGTTCCTCGTTATTATCAAGCGAACGGGACAGCAACAAAATTCTATACAAGCGGTAATTCAATAAAAACGAGAGGAAAAAAACAGTGACAGCAGCCGTGAAGTTAGACGGGAACACTGTGGGATACTCTGACCGTATATTTAATCAAACAAGCCTCAATTATGAACAACTCGCGGCAGCTTTTCCGAGGAGAAAAAAAATGATTAAGTGGAGTTTGCCGATAAATTTATCTGGGCATCAGTTCTCGAACTGCTTTGGGCGTGGCAAGAGCACTGTCACCGCTGCCGCACTCCACTTTGTTTCGAAGCAGCTGTAGGATATTTCGCATCTCTGCAGTCATTGGTGTTTCCTGAAGTGCCTCCCTGACGTTTCTTCGTGCTTACATTGTATGAACACAAGGTCTACAACCGCGGCATCCGTGCTACAAGCAACGACGGGAGTGTCCGCATCGACAAGCGCATACAAATTGGAAGTTATCCTCGATGGCTTCACCAACATGTTCGCACACACTCCTGTAGAGATTGTTGTACCTCTGGGAATCATACACTGGCTCGGCAAGCATGTGCAAATAGGGGTGGAACTCATGAAATGTACTAAGGAGCAGCCACAAGAGCAGCTGAAACAGCTGTTTTAGAGCAGGTTGGGAGCAGGTAAATCTACCTTCTGAAGCAGGCTAGGAGCAGCTCGAATCAGTTTTCATTGCACTTCAGCTTGCGCCTTAGACAAGCACAGGAGCAATTCCAATTGTGCTTAGCAGCACAGATGAACATGAGTGGTTAGGGAACTAGGTAGATGGGATAACAGTGTAACAGATGAGAAAACTTGAAACTTTGTGAGCCTTAATGAGAACCAAAAAGCAAGTATCATACGTTTCTGAAGACAGTGTCCTTGATATTTTCTGAGTGACTTTCAGCAGCTCAAAATGCAAACCAGCACTGCTTATCGCACAACCCACATAGGCTCGACATAGTAATTATATGTGCGAACCATGTGACGTGCGTTGTGCGGAGGAACGGGGCAACGAATTTCGAGTTTATCCTATTGTGCAACCCAATATCGAAGCAGCAGATTATGATTAACGGAGTTATCGTATTCTAAGCAATAAGCAGGAGCAAGGTTAAAGTACACCGAGCAGATCTACCGCTCGTGTGAGAGCTGCTGGACGACAACGTTTCGGATCGGACAGCGTTTCAGTTCTATCAAATCACGATTTACCTTGCGGGAATGCGGTTCCAACTTCTAACGATGAAGTACTAAAAATAATCTTTTGCTCATTTGTTTTCAACGTCCGGATCCCAGGCCGCAGAGCCTCAGGCGATTTGGCACTTAATGACTTGACCTCACCTCGGCCGACTTGCTTAACCGCTGATGGTTGAATAATAACAATGCAGTCGCAAGTGGTGCAGTGCTTGGAATCCTACCCCCGAGCTTTTTCGCGCACTTCCGAATCTGGATACTCAGGTAGAATAAAGAGAACAAAGCAGTGCAAAGCCGACCAAGCTAAACGCGCTCATTGTAGCCAATTGAGCCGATAGAAACTGAAACCAAGACAAAATACAATTTTTTTGGAGCACGTTTTCTGATTTGGTGCATAACGGCGCGAGGTATTGGCTGTAGCGCAGTTTTCGCAACATGGCACAAGATGGCGCAGACAAATGCGTCTGGCGCAAGAGGGCGCAAATGGCACAGCCAATCCACCCCTGGCGCATGAGAAAATCCAAAGTGCAAGCAAGGTTGTTGGCGATTTTTCCTTATAGAGTTGCGGGCAACGCTTTCTCTTGCATGGGAAACTCTTCTCGAACCCCTGCAGTATGTCCCGCTTGTTCTGCAAGGTAATCGACAGTGTCAAACAATCGATTACGAAATTTCTAATTCCCTAGCGATTTCGGACTTGCACCGCTCACTTTTTGCAACCTCGCAGATCAAAGCTACTTTTGGTAAACGCTCCTATGTGACGCACGCATACCACAACTACGCTGCAGGTGCGTGGAGCTGGTGAAGTGCGGAAGCGTATGTCGCGGGCTCCTGAAGGGATGACCCCTGAGCTCCTTTGCGTCCTTGACCTGATTCCAACAAATTCTACACTAAATTCCGATTCCGAAATTTGGCGGGGAATTGTATTGCTATTGCGGTTACGTGACGTCAATTTTCCCGCTATATCTGGTAGAAAAACTAGATTTGTTCATAGGTGACGTGGCACCAAGTCATGCGACATAATTTTCCCTGCTAAATTTAGCGGGGAAACTAAATTGGTGTTGAGGTCACGTGACGTCAATTTTCCCACTATATCTAGCGGAGAAACTGAATTTGTTCATAAGGGACGTGACAGCAAGTCATGCGACGTAATTTTTCCCGCTAAATTTAGTGGGGAAACTAAATTGGTGTTGAGGTCACATGATGTCAATTTTCCTGCTAAATTTAGCAGAGAAACTGAATTTGTTCGTGGGTGACGTGACACCAAGTCATGCGACGTCATTTTCCCCAAGGAATTGAATTGGTGTCGATGTCACATGACGTCAATTTTCATGCTAAATTTAGTGCAATTAAGCCAATGCTGACAGCGGCAATGCGAAACCTAAAAACACTTTAAAGCTGCGCTCTAAAAAAAAAAAAAAAAAAGTTGCACAGCCACGTAACTTCCGGTAACTTTCTCCTCTATATTTCTTCTTCCTCACCAGCCCAGTTTCGGTTGCAAGCAGTGGCGCTTTTTTACTTTATTAAAAATGTATGTGACGCACCAGCAAACTATTGATTGGGTAGTCTTCTGACACTATAATGCATTGCCTGGCAAAAAATAAAAAAACAATTTTTGGGGGGTGTCGGAGTACCTTTAACAGGTGTAGAAAATTCAATGTAAAACAAAGGCTTTCAACTACATGCACCAATATTTTTATGTTTTCTAGCTGCGTAACTGGTCGTCCACAATCTCTTTCTGAAGTCTGGTAATTTCTGGAAAGCTCCACTTCCTGAGCAACCATCTCAAAGATGACATGAGTGATGCTTCAACTTTTGATCCTCTCGCTTCAAAATCAAGTGTGGAGAAAAACCAACGAAACAGATTGCCTTTTTCGTCCTGAAACTTAGCATGTTCTACGCATCTTATACGGCATGCAAGTTTGTCTGCTCCTTGCGCATCTCGTGCGTTGGTCTATCCCCAACCTCAACCAATACGCACGCTTGGCTGCCTCATCATTGTGCATTCTCTATGGTGCTCTTTGACTGGCATGGTCCTCCTTGCATTCCGATGCACCAAAGACGCATTTCGGAACACTTGCTTGCCGTATGCCATTGCAAATTATTTAATGGCAAATCTAGAGCCATATGAACCCGAACAAGGTAAAGTATGCATAAACGCAGCAGAAGGCACTTACCGTGAACGGCATCTCTGTCATTATCCTCGCAATGTAGTACATGCTCGGGCTGTACCAGCAGTTTCGATGTTCTCGTAGAAGTACGCTCATTTCTGTAGGAACTGCCCGAAATGCACAAAAACGTCCATTTGAATGATTCATGCGCAAACTAAGACTTGTTCATTCCGACCACTATCTCATTCATCTCGAAAAAAAGATTTGTAAGGGCAGAGTTTAGGACCTCTCTAATCAATTTCTTAATTGCTGTGCATATGATAACAAAGCGAAGCGCTAGTGATTATGGTTATGGGATAAACAGAGCATTATGCGACACATTGCCGAAGCACTCAGAACCTCAACATTTGTCGGCATGCCAACCAGTGCATGATTTTCACGCTCTTTAGTACTCAAGAAATACTCAGCTACCAGAAAGCTAGGCTCCGAGATCACTCTTATGTTAATTTTCTAGTGTATCACGCTAGAAAGTGCTGCCCTCGTACACGAGTGCTAGTGCAAAAGAAGAATTTTTCTCTCATGACCATGCCTATGATAGCACCTCAAAACTCTAGCGAGAAGGACAGGTAGGTTCCCAGGTTTACACATTAATTCAATATAAAAAATACACGAACCTGCAGTATACTCGCAATAGTCCAAACTCGGATATTTTACATTTCAGAGCAATTCAAACAAATTTCAAAATTCTGGATCTCCCGTTAAGTTTTTTATGAATTTATAAGCCACTTACTTCGAACGGTGTTTCATGTAATTTATACGTTTTGTTCCCGTAGTCCTGTTGAATGCGCTTCTTTCCGAGCACTGGTGCACTGCGGAGAAGCAACACTAGCGGAAGCGAGCTTTGTGGCCGTTGCTTCTCCGCAGTGAATAGGCCCACAATAGATAACTTTTTTGCTAGAACAAATTTAATTTTATTTTGGGGAGTCATGTGCTGTACAAACAGTACACGATAAGCAACATTTTTGAGGGATGAATGAACTTATGTCATACATTTCACCAATGTTTCACGTGTGGCATACCTGCTTGATTAGTAGGCCTGTATAGACCATTCCATTTAGCGCTCTCTGGGCGGCACCATTTTGTTCGCCCGCAGCGCCCTCTCCACACATCCGGGAAGTTCAGCGGGTTCGGCAGGGTAAAACGAGAGAGAGGGCACGCGCCAGACTCCGCTAGCAGACGACAAACCGGGAGGTTGCCGTTCTCCATCTTTGGGCTGTATCGGCGGGCTCTACCTAACATTGAACTCTCGCTCGTGGCTGCCGTTGTGAAGTGGTTCGCGTTCTTAGAATAGTTGTGGCTACTCCAAAATCAGCCTATAGCTCTCTGTTGTTCTATTTTGCTAAATGATCAACTAGCATATCTTTTTTCCGTTACTTAAATAGCAGTTGAGTCAGCCGGCAGTACTACCCTCAACTACTGCTTGTATTGCGGCAGGAGAGCACGTTTTATTTATTATTTCAGACTTCCACTCATGATCGCTAAAGGCCTACACCAGTACGAACTTTTGTATCGTAAAAAAGGTACAGCAACCGGATTTTCTTTTCGCCAAAGAGACCGGCCAATCTGACACAGTTTTCCCTATTTTTGTTTTTTTATTTGCATGCAGGTAACAGCGAAATTGGACCCTGTGAGTCTTTTTATCTAGCATAGTATTACACAATAACTGGCATACCAAAATCTGCGCATCTGCGCTTGAAAGTTCCAAAATGACGCGATTTTAAACAGAGTTTGCACGCCAGCCGGACGCTAGCTACAGCCCACTCGGCGGAGCGGAGGGAACGCGGGGTGAGAGGGGGAGTGCATTTTTTTCTCTTTTACCCTCTCTGCTATGACCCTAATGGAACGGTCTATAGAGGAAATCATAAAATATGTGCTTTGCATCTGTAGCCATCCATACAGCAAATCATAATTTTATGTTGCATCACATTTAGGTGTATTTTTGATATACTTCAAACTTCCGATAATTCAAACAAAATTTGTGGCTTTCTGGAGTTTGAAATAATGAGTCTACTGTAATTTTCGTAATCCAGTCTATGTAGGAAACAATTGTTTTACCATCTTTGCTCCTAGCAAAGGTGTTACAAAAGTCAGTCATACCATGCTTACAAGAAATGAAGTGATTCTTTGTGCATTGGGCAAATGGAGTAAGAGTAGTCTCATCCTCTGTTTGTGTCTTCAGGACGCCCTCGTCGAAACTATTAGCGATTCAAACTTATCAAAAGAGATCAGCGCTTTGAATAGTTCGACGACTGAATATAACGTCTCAATGATGTCTACTCCTGCGTAATGACCGCAATGTTATTAGTGACATTATTATGCTTATTCTGTCACGCACACTTCTGCAAATTACAACAAACGTATTACAAACGTTTGGAACAAGGTTTTGAGAATAAAATTTATTACCCACACCGAACTAGAGTCCCTGACAGGGTGATAACAGCAGGCAGAAGCTTCAGTTGCCCCACCTCCAGCAGGAGCTTTCAGCCTTCGATAATGCTACGTTGTCTCGTAAGCTTTAAGCGAGCACGTGATGCGCAACCAAGGTATGGCGAAAGGCCACGAGCACGTGCTGGACGCTGGGCATTCAAAAGAGACGCCCCGCTCTTCTCACTTTGTCAGTGACTATAGAAACGTAGCTTAATGCAGACAAGTCCCGAGATTGTCACAAGGTGAGAGAGCGAGACGAAGGTCCCACAGGCTCACAGATGAGGACGGTAGGCATGGCAGACTGGAAGAGCGCGATGGTGAGGCAGAGCAGGAAGAGGGCGGCGTTGCTGATGACCCGGGTGGCGTTGTTGCCCACGTCATAGTACAGCATCGTCAGCATGATGGCAAAGGAGACGTACGAAACGACCCGCAGCTGTGTGGCTACCTGCGTGGACGGAGAAGAGTGCCGGTCGTTAGTTTGCATCCCCAGTTACTCTGCTCGTTGCAAAGCTGCCTTCTTACTACGACCACTGACAGGATGAAAATGACAGGGCACCTCCTTAGGATGCCCCGGCCTCCAGCACGCGTTCGTCGTACTATGTCGTGCTTGGGCTGCGCGTGCAAGCTCGAAGCTCGTGGGATGGCAATGTACATATCGTCAAAAGGAGGAAGCTCGCAATGGAGACGTGTAACTAAACGTCCTTTCTGCCATTCTCACTCTGTAAGTCTGTAAGTTACTATAATGCGAGTTGCATGTCCAGTCTCCTGTACAGCAACTTGAAGCTGTGGATGACGATGAGACCGTGCAATTTGGACTGGGATCCTGACTATATCAACATCCCACTCGTAATTTCAGAACAGGCAGGTGTTGTATTGAAGGTTGTAAGCTTTGCCATCTGCGTTGTCCTGTGCATTTCTTTCATTTCTATAAATGTTTTATCTATACACCCTCATTTACTGATCTCTTTCAATGAATCAGAATGGTTGCCATGCTGCGCGGAGAAAGTAGACGTGCCACCTTTGTTCGTAAAAGGGTTGCGTGAGATTTTAATTATTACGCAAAGTGCCACTTTTGAAATCTTACTCAAGATGCCTAATTTCTGAGAAATAAGGTGACGAGACGCAAAAAAAAAAAAAAAAATCTACCGCAAAATGCAGAGCAACTCAGTACCTCGACAAAGGTCCAGTCCTTGTTTTCCATCGATATCAGAATACGCTGAGGCACAAAGCTGCATAAACCACATTTCGGAAAGGGCTGATCTATCATTTCTTTGTTAAAATTGTTTCTCAAATTACGGGTAGCTTCATTGTTTTCCACTAAGAATGGGCATAGAAAACAAAAATACATAAAGGCAATTCATTGCAGAGATTAGAGTAACTAGGCTATTGTAGCAAAACTAAGTGCAGAGGTGAAATCCACCATAGAAATTTAGGTTCCTACTTGTCACCACAAAGCAATAGCAAGGAGCAAGTTGAAGGCACTGGCCCATTCTAGTCTTTCTTGGATCATGAGTGTGTAGGGTAAGACATCTGTGGAATGAGGATTTACACGGTAGAACCTTCCTATTGTAAACTGATAAAATATAAATATTAGGGGTGTGCAAATATTGGAAACTGAATAATTCACGAATAATGCTTGCTATTCAATTCAATTCACTTCGCACTTTCACTGCTCGAAGTATTCGAGTTCTTTGAATACTTTGACAGTGATGGAAGTGGCATTTGACGTTTTGGAGCAGGGTCTGTAGCAGGCAAAATATTCGTTTGGAGCAGCCACTGTCACTTTTGGAGCAGACGCCAACGTCTGTTAACATATCCGTTGAAAAAAAAAAATTGATTGCATCACTAAATGTGTTTATATTTGATAACGGCTGAGGGTTTCTCTTTCATACTGGAGCATATTACTTGTTACCCTTCGTAATAGAAACAAATAGGGTGCAAAAGGTATGCAGAGCTTTCGTTTTAGAAATAAAGATCTGGTCAGAGTAGGTTCTATTTATGATTGGTACTAAAAAAAAATTGATGAGAAATGAACCACACTTCAGTTTGGGTAAAGCCTCCCTCCCACTTTTACACCCGATAATTTATTTGGCCTGCATGTATAATTTCTGCAAAATGACACCAAAAACCAACATAATCGCTAACACGTCTATCAGTAAAATGCGCCTACCAAATTTTATTGTTACCGAACTCAAGACTTAAATATTACAAACTGAAAAAAAAAAAAAAAAAAAAAAAAAAAAAACACAAATATTATGCAAATTTACTCTTGCACTCACATTTATTCAAATAAAGCACCGCATATCTTTTTTTTTTTTTTCTTACTCGACGCCGCATTTGAAAACAAGGTCATATATAATCGAGACCAAAGAATGTGGACCTGCAATGGTACTGACCATAATTTACATGTATTGCTAAGCCAAACGCTCACCCATGTCAGCCGCTACTCCTAGCACTCCGGTGCAAGGCGGAGAAGATAGACGCGCGTGGGCTGGTGAGAGGCGCCGCGAAAGCATACAGCAGAGGTAATCAAGTGATCTCACCAGGAGTACAAGAGCCTGGTTCTGTCTTATCGCAGTAGCCGTTATCCTCCTATTTTGCAACGTTTTCTCCCGACTTTTGGCTCCTCACATCGCCGACATCGTCCGAAAGTTTAGAAGATGTCGGCGATCAAGCCGCCAGCGCATCATCCGGCCAGCGCGGTGGACGAGCAATCTTAGAACTTCATTTCACTTTAAAGCGCAGCCGACGCTACAAGCCAATGGGATCACAACCAAAGAACGTCAAAGCGCGACATAGAGACATTCGACCATCTTCCTGTAACTTTTCCTTCATCGATTAAACCAATAAAATGCAGCGAATGTCCCGTGACTTGCGCTTTTTCTATGTGTGTTCGTGTTGTATGTGTTCGGGCCTTCGACTGTGTTCTGACCTTAGATGAAACAATGTATACGGTGAGTACAGACGCTGTGAAACACATATTTCTACCGTTTTTCTTTCTTCCTACTTCTTTAAAGATTAGGGTCAACCAAAAAATATATATATATAAATTTTTCGTTTTCACCATCTAGGCGCAGGTGTGGCGCAATTCTTAGCCAAAATGGCACCTTGGCGCAAGATGTAGCAGACTTTCGCTCACGGCGCAATTTGGCGCAAATGGCGCAGCACTTCCATTACTGCTTCGAAAACTATGAATAACGCGGAACTTGCTGATTAGTGTCAACTCGCGGTCGAGTTCCCTGTTTTGTTTTTGGACTGAGCAGTATGGTTTCAAGCTTTGCAAACCCAAAAAGTTATCCTAAGTGCCTTTCTTTCTGTATGAAAAGCTGGAAAGTCATTTGCATGCGGTAGCGCGATCTGTCCTTTGCTTGCCATGATGTCTGAATTGCGGAGTTGACGAAATGGTCATGGTGCAAACGCTGCGATAGATTTGATGAAAGACTACAATTTTAACGGCACGTGCATCGTTGTGAGCAGAAACGCGATGAACCACACCTACTACAGTCCTTCCCATAGTCACTACAGCAGCCAAGGTGCTATGGATTCGGATATGGATTTACGGCTGACCTTGGCTATCGGCGATATCTGACTCGTGTTATTTTCCGCTTGATTTTCTGGTTCATCAGTTTGCCAGTATTCCTTTTGTTATTAATTTCTACCCGTTTTCACTGGTAAAAGTGAGACTTGCACATTCCGCCGAAAAAACAACAACAATGTATTCTTAATTTCTTGCTTCGTTGTGGCGCACTCTATCAACTACTGCATACGGAAAGAGATGGCACAAAGTCAGTGCGGCTGCACGGTGCGATCTCCAACTCTGCTGTGGCCCGCTGACCCGCCTCCGCTTGTGTACTTCCGTTAATGTTCACATGGTTGCGTTCACCAGCGTAAAAAGATTTTCCAAAAGTCGGTGCAGCTGCGCAACGCGATCTTCGACTTTGTATTGTAGCTTGCCAGCCTGCCACCGCTTGTGTACTTTCGTTTACGTTCACATGGTTGAATTCGTCGGCAACGCGATCTCCGACTGCATTGTGTTGTGACTTGCCGACCTGCATCCACTTGTGTAGTTTCATTTACGTCCTGTAACTTCACCCCTTGAATGGTGTTTTACTGACTGATCTTTTATTTCATCTGTTTTTTTATCAGACACATGTGTGACATTTTTCTTGTTGCAATAAAATTGACCTTTACATAAATGTTTGTTGAAAAAAAAATTCCATTTGTGTTTCGATTGAGCATTCTCATTTAATTCACATCAAATAGAAAATAGTTGTTTTCAAAAATGTTCTTATTTGAAACTAATATTTGTACAGTTAAACCTCGATGTAACAAAGTCGGTAAAATTCGCAATTTACTCCGTTACATTGAAATTTCGCTAAATCGAAATTTTGCTTTAGCATGCAAAAAAACAAATTCCGAAACATTTTACGGGTATGAAAACTCACCGAAAATGACATTTATTTAGGGGCAAAGTAGTCCGCGAGTTTTGCTTGCGCCTTGTCCGACAGTAGCAGCGGCGTCATACTGGTCATACGGCGTTCGAGCGCCCAGAGCGCTTGCACGGCATCTTGCTGCCCATGCGACGCCGTGTACCTCCTCAGTACGTCCATTGCGTCGAGCACTTCCCGAGTGCTCGTGATCTCGGCACTTTCTTCAGGATGGCGTCCAAAACGTTTGCTTTCTCATCCAAAGAAAGAACTTTACGTTTCCCTATGGCAGCAAGCACGTGAGTGAACCGCTCAGTTCAAAAATAAAGCTGTTTAGTTTAGGCGGTGCCAATGTTTCCAACCTACACAGCACTCTTGCCCGCACAGTTTACTTGCCCCCTTGCGCCCTTGCGCCCACAGGCCCACAGTGTGCTTGCGCCTTTGCTTTACATCACGCTCGCAAGACGATAATCCAGCGATAATCGGTCTTCTCGGTCTTCTCCTAGATGGCACTGCCCGTGCGGTCGCGCCATCACGTCGCTCCCCCGCTGAAGTTGGCTCCCGCGATACCCGCGGTACAGTGGACTATGATGATCAGTGAATGTCAGTGGTGATGCTGTTATGCCGTGTTAACTTTTTGCTTGGCATTTTCTGGCCAGCCTCGCGGAATCCGCTTTGCCGCATGCCTCGCCGGCGCTACCGGCGCCGCACCCTCGGGCAGCCTAGGAACGTTGGAAGGCCTGTCCCCGTGAAGTAACCTATCAAGCGCTCGCGTTTGCGCATAAATTTTTTTTTAACCACAATTTTTTTGCGAAGTTGTTTTTTAGAGTCTATTTATTTATTGCCTTCTATGGCAATGGCGCTTCGTTATATTGAAATAGCAGCAAAATAGACTTCGTTATATAGAGACTAAAAATACATGGGGTCTATGGGCAAAAAATTATGAAAAATAAAATACTTCGTTAAATCGAGGATTTCGTTACATTGAAGTTCGTTATATCGAGGTTCGACTGTATTTAAAAATATTAGATTTAATTAGATTCATAACCTTTATTATTCATTCGCTTTGGAAGATTTTGATATTTGCACAACACTAAAAAATATGAATTAGTGAAGCAAAGCTGAAGTACACATGTAATGATTCTCATGTCATTTGAGGCATACTGAGAATGGGTAAATAATCATGCAGTGAGCATTTTCCCTTAATAATGACCAACTTTTTTGTTTTTATTGTATTTTGAGCAATGTTGCTGTACCAGTTAGCATGAATATATCAACCTACTACAGGCCCCCGAATTGCATCAATATAACAGGGGTGTGACTTACCTTGTTTCTGATGACACAAAAGAAGCACCTCTTCACTAATATGAGGAACTGGTGAAAGGAATCGACACGGACTTTGTGCAGTTCACACTCCTCGGCCTTTTCCTGAATGCAAAAAAGAGAGAAAATAGCTAAACCCATTTTGCTGGCTGTTGGTTGCAAACCTCTACTAAGAGTTGGTAGTTTTGGTAGTAGAAAGAAATTTGAACACTACATAAATGAGTAGTAGGTCAAATTTTTAGAATTTCGTCAATGGCTCGAAACACGACTCTACCTCAACGTGCTGCTATGAAATATAGGCAAGTGTATACAGTTACAAACAGTTTCTAAAGCAATTAAAATGGTGGCTTCGGAGCCTCCATTGCAAAAGCACTAACAACACCCTGCATATGCAGAAAGTCTGATGAAACTGGTTTCATAAAGGACACTAGACAGCATATTTCACATTCGTCCTTTCCTCCTTTTGTACCATGCATGGCTAGCATCAAAGTCTGAGATTCCGCAGTGGGCAATCCTAGGCTATGCGCTGTGCTACATCACTGAAAAGACAGTGAGTGTGCAGGTGAGCTGGTGACAGTTAACTAATGTTTAAAACCTGAGACTGAGGTGAGGGAAAAATAGGAAAATTTGAAGTCAAAGAAAAAAGGCAAAGGACGTGTCTTCTCCTGCGCCTTTCTTCTTCGACTTCGAGGTTTCCTATTTTTCCCCTACTGCAGCCTCAAATTTTAAACATTGTGACTACATCACTGTTTTGCAATGTCATCATCAGTTGGAAAAAAGTACCTCGCAAAAAAAACCTCAAGGAATAACAGAAAGTTTTGCATGAAGTCGATGCTGGCGGCTTTAGGAATGTGCTTTCGCGGAATGAGAACTCACGCCGTAGTCACTGTCAAGGCGAAAAAGGCAGGGAGGAGCTTCAGTTGTCCTGCCTACAGCTCAACTACCTTCAACAAAGATGTAACGCCTTGGTTTGGCGCCAAAGCTTTGTCTTGCACCAAACTTTTGTTTGGCGCAAGACAAAGCACAGCAGAAGGCATGGAGCGCATAGTGTAGGTCAGGTGTTCGAAAGATATTCCCTACTGTTCACATTCTGTCACTGAAAGCAAGTTTCAAAGCTAAGAGCACTAGCATTTATTGCCCTCCCCGACCAGTAAGATGTTGTTGATTACGGGCTTTATGGCGCAAAGCTACTATGGCCATACTGCGCCAAGCTTGTTTAATTGGGAAATACTCAGGACTTTTTTTTTTTTTTTTTTTTTTAATACAAATTATCTAAAAAGAGTCATGTAACAAGGTTAAGAGTCCTAGAATTAAAATTACAACTCCAGTAGGAAGCCAGTTTTTCTTAAGTAATTTATGACACGATCAAACGGTACTATAGGAGTCTCTCCAATTAGCAGCGCTGGGTGGAAAGGGATCTGGTGTGAAAAAAACTCGGGGAAATATGTACGTCGTTCTTGCTCAAGCCCTGGGCACAGCCACAAAATATGTAAAATTGTTAAACGCTCCCCACAGTCATCACACAGGGGTGGGGCTTCCCCCCTCAGCAGATGTTTGTGGGTGAGATAGGAGTGTCCAATTCTAAGACGACACAAAAGAACTTCATGGCGGCGGGTTTTGTGGGATGCACTCTCCCACATACCAAGAGCTGGTTTAATCCTGTGAAGTTTGTTTTCACATTCCAGACTCCACTCCGATTGCCATAGCTGGAAAACTAATGATATTACTAAGGGCTTCATGTCTTGAAATGGAATCTGCGAGGTAGTTGGCAGTAGGTGCTTAGAGCTAGTGGCCAACTCGTCTGCTCTTTCATTACCTAGGATCCCCATATGGCTAGGCACCCAGCAGAATTTTATGTCTTGGCCAAGCCGCAGACCATATTGTACCTTAGATCGGACAAGTTGTGCCAGTCTATTTTTATTTCCCTTTATTGAGCAAAGTGTGGTGAGAACACTTTGAGAATCCACGAATAAAATAGATTTCATCGTCTTGCTGGTGAGAATATACTCCAAGGCCATCAACACCGCATAGAGCTCTGCCGTGTAAATACTTGCACATTCTTTGAGACGCTGTACCTTACTGAATCCTTCAGAGTAAAATGCTGATCCTACAAAATGCAATGATTTGGCACCATCGGTATAAAATTGTGAGTAGTTATCATACTTTTTCTGCACCTCAAGGAATTCTTGTTGAATCACCACTGAGGGGATGTTACGTTTGTTAAATCTAGTAAAATACCAATCACAAGAGACTGGCAACATACTCCACGGAGCTTCATTTTCACCTTTCTGCAAAAGGTCGGTCTCGTCAAGGGTAAGGTCAAGAGACGTACAAATGCCCTCAAGGCGAAGGCTTAAAGGTGGTACAACCCTGGGCTTATGTTCGAAAAGACGAGCAAACCGAGAATGTTGCAAAGCACCATAAGTTGGGTGATTTGGATAGGATAGTATTCTGGAAGCATAAGTCACTGCAAGATAACGTCGCCTGTGCATAAGTGACATCTGATTGGATTCAGCGTACAAGCTAGGAATGGGCGATGTGCGGAAGGCACCTGTGGCGAGCCTTAAACAAAGATGATGCACAGGATCCAACATTTTGAGTGCAGACGGCCTTGCTGAGTCGTAAACTATAGCACCATAGTCCAGACGTGACCGGATAAGGGAGTTGTATAAGCGAAGCAGACATATTCTGTCGGATCCCCATGACTTGTGCGCTAAGACTTTAAGAATATTGGCTGATTTAAGGCACTTCTTTTTCAGGCCCTTTAGGTGGGAAACGAAGTTTAGCTTTTTATCAAACGTTATCCCCAAAAATTTATGCTCTGTTTTGACACTAATAGGAACCCTGTTTAACGTCAGTTCTGGATCTAGAAACAACCCCCGACGCAGAGAAAATGGCACACAGATAGTCTTCTCGGGCGAAAACTTAAACCCATTTTCGTCAGCCCACTTACTAATTTTGTTAATGGTAAGCTGTAGTTGCCGCTCGCAGCTAGACAAATTACAAGAAGAAACCGAAATGTGAATATCATCCACATAGAGGGAGTATGAAATGGAAGATGGAATTACTCTTGACAACGAGTTAATCTTTACGGCAAACAAGGTGACACTCAATACACCTCCCTGCGGAACTCCGTTTTCCTGGATATACTGTTTGGATAGTGTGGTGCCAAGTCGAACTTGAAAAAAGCGACCTGTAAGAAAACTGCTTATACACCGCAACATGCGACCACGCACACCACAACCATACAAGTCACGGAGGATACCATACCGCCATGTCGTATCATATGCTTTTTCCAGGTCGAAGAAAACAGAAACACAATGTTGCCTATTTACGAAAGCTTCACGTATTGTTGTTTCCAGACGGACTATGTGGTCCAAAGTAGAGCGCCCTTCTCGAAAGCCACACTGGTTATTAGCGAAGAAGTGGTTATGCTCCAAAATATAAATCAACCGCCTATTAATGAGGCGTTCAAATGTTTTGCCAAGGCAACTCGTCAAAGCGATGGGACGGTAACTGCGTGGGTCCGAAGGGTCCTTCCCAGCTTTCAGCAAAGGAATTACATGTGCCCGTTTCCAGATCTGAGGAAAGTAAGCTGCTTCCCACAGGTCGTTGAAAAAAAGTAGTAGTGTGTTCAGTGACTCTCGAGACAATTGACGGAGCATTTCATAGTGGATTCCATCAGGACCCGGAGCCGACCTCTTCTTTGCGCCAAGAGCCACTTCTAGTTCTTGCATTGTGAAAGGAGTGTTGTATGGCTCAGAGCTACAACCGGACATCGGTATACGGTGACCCTCCGCACTTCCTTTAAAGCGCTTAAATTCCGTCCGATAATTTTGGGAGCTGGAAACACTCTCAAAGTGCTCTCCAAGCACATTAGCAACATCTTTCAGCGAATTCGCAGGGGACCTAAATAGAGGAATAACAAAACAATGGTAATCCCCTTTGATTCTTTTGTACCTATCCCATACTTCCTTCTCTGAGACAAAACTATTTATGGAAGAAATGTACTTGGTCCAGGTCTTGCGCTTAGCTTTTCTCCTGGTCCATCGGGCCTTTGCTTTTAGTTTTTTAAATTCTATCCTATTTGAAGAAGTAGGGTATCTCCGAAAGGTATCCCATGCCCTATGCTGTTTTTTCCTTGTAGTGGCACAGTCTTCATTCCACCAAGGCCTACACCTCTTGGGTAAATTTTCAGAGGTGCGAGGAATGGCATCTTGGGCAGCACTTATGATTTGCTCGGTAACATACATTGTCGCTTCTTCGGGTAACAAATTCGCTAGAACTGACGGGTCAAGCACTGCATCAAGTTTAAAGAGCGCCCAGTCGGCTTTGTCCAGTTTCCACCTAGGGGTTCGTTTTAAAATAGTCGGCAGAGGAACAAGGCTTTCAATTACAATCGGGAAATGGTCGCTCCCGAAAGGGTTGTTTAAAACCTTCCAAGAAAAACAGGGAAGTAATGATGGTGATGAAATGGAGAGGTCGATGGATGTGAAGCAATTATGAGTGGAACTATAAAATGTTGGTTCTTTTTTATTTAAAAGACATACGTCTGAGGACAGTAAAAATCTTTCTACAACAGCGCCGCGAGGGTCAATGCGCTTACTGCCCCACATGGGACTGTGAGCATTAAAATCACCACAAATTAAAAAAGGCTTTGGGAGTTGCTGAACCAATCCTTGAAGTTCATGAAGATGCAGTTGACGATGAGGTGGTAAATACAAAGACACAACCGTAATGAGACGATCAGCAAGAACACGTACCGCAACTGCTTCTAGTGATGTTTGCAGAGGAACTTCCACACACGCTATGCCACTCCGTACAACGATCGCAACACCACCAGAAGAGTGGTCTGAAGCCCTATCTTTTCTAAAAACGCGGTGACGATTAAAAACATTTGTATGTGTGTTGTTAAGATATGTCTCCTGCAAGCACACAGCAATGGGCTGTAGCTCATCCAGAAAGAAATGAATGTCATCAATATTTTGCAGGAGACTTCTACAGTTCCATTGTATAAAACTATACGTGTTCATGTTAAAAATGGTTTAAAGTAAGAGCAAAACGAAAAAGAAACCTGCCCTAGGTATCCAGGGGCGGTTTGGGTG